TCGGCTACATGAGTTTTAAAATATCGGCATATCGGATATCGGCCAAAATCCCAATATCGTGCATCCCTAGTGGAAACTTGTATATTAAATTCATCCACTAACGCAAACTGATATATTCCATATATTTTAATATAAGCGATTAAAACTGCCAACTAATGACAAAGCCAAATTTAATATCAGTAAATTAGAACATTATGGAAAGATTGAACATGGAAGATACCTGGTGTCACGCTCTGACCAGCTAATTAACAAAACACCTAAAACGGCCTTTAGAGGATAGCTGCATTTCCATTACAAATGCGTAAAAACCATGTTGATATTCTGCTAATCTTGAAAATGCAAATTCAGTTGTGGCATTTTCATTAAATAACAAATTAAATTGCACATTAGTACGTTTATTTATGCCATAACTTTTGAAAACAACATGGCAGAGGCAGATGTAAATACATGATATATCCATATTTCAGCCGCGGCTCCGGTGCTCATCGTCGCAAACTAAATGTGAAACCTACTCTACTTCCTTAAGAACCCAAATACGCCACGCCATCATCCTCCAACTACTTCCGATCTTCGTCTTTTTGCAAGGCAGTAAGGTCCAACTGCAGATCCCGTGACTGGTGTGATCTGAAAAAAGGGTTGCTATTGTGGTTTTGCAAAATATAATAATTTTGATGCGACTGAAAAACCAACTAATTGAGTTGTAAAAACATTTTTCTTTTTTTTTTATTGCAGTTTTTCTATTCGGCAAATTGATTTAATTATGAGATTGATACATCCATCATAAGGGAAATCTGCAGACTGACAAAGAGGGCATGAGGTAAAAGGTCATTGCTAAAGAGGCTGGCTGTACAAAGCTCATTGTCAGAGAACATTTATAGAGGCCAAAGGAAGGAAAAGATGTGGTAGAAAAAAACGTACAAGCAATAGGGATGGCCACACCCTACAGAGGATTGTGAAACAGAAGCCATTTAAAAATGTTGGGGAGATTTATATAGAGTGGACTCCGGCTGGAGTCAGTGCTTCAAGGACAAGAAGTGTGTTTCCTCCTTCACTTTCCACGTGTTAAACCACTCATGAAGAAGAGATGGCTTTAGAAGCACCTCAGCTTTGCTAAAGACAAAAAAGACTTTCCTGCTGCTGATCGGTCCAAAGCTGTGTCTCTGAGCAGCATCTCAGGTAGTGAGGACCATATGTTGACTTTCATTGATTTACAGTCATCATAATCCTTTCTATGCCTTAACCCTGATAATTACACCAAGCCTCACCATTACCCGTGTACCTAACCGTTGGACCAGAATGGCGTCCACATTTCTGCTGGTATCCTAAAGTCGTCTCTCTGATGCACAAACCAGAGCAAACACAAACACACAGGTTTTTATTCCTATCAATATAAAGACTTTACATTGACCTGCTTTCATTTTATTTATTGCATTTATGCCTAAACCCCTTTACTTTAACCTAAAGTTAATTCACACCTTACCTCCAACCCCGAAATCCCTAACTCAGGGTTCCCGCAGGTCCTTAAAAAGTCTTAAAAGGCATTGAATTCTTCAAAATAAAACGAATTGGTATTAAAATGTCTTAAATCAGTCTTTCGTAGGTATTAATTTTTAAAACATCATAAATAGTAATTTTTTTATTACGATTTCTTTTTGTAATATAAATAAAACATTAAAATTGACAATTTTTTTATATAAAAAAAAGAATAATTAATTAAAAATTAATGAATTGTAATTATTTTTAATGATCCGCGGAAACCCTGGTTCATTTCCGAATGTTTTGCTGCTTTGAATTTAATCATCTCGCGCATGCCCTCTACGATCTCCAAGGAACTCAGAGCGGACGGGAGCCACAGCGGAGGCTGTAGGCTTTGCTTTGAGCAGGCGGTCTGGAGTGCAGCGCTGACGGAGTATGTGGGATTTTGGGGTTAGCATGACATGTTGGTCATGTTGCTGTTAGCATAAACAAAACGTGTTGCACAATGCTTGCACTCTGTTGCACTTTTATCCACAACTTTCTTTCTGCCGTCATCGTAGGTCACTCTAAATGCAAAGTGGTCCCATACAGCAGACCTATAAAGTGCTGCTGGCGCGTCTTCCAACTCCTGTTCTTTCCCACTCGCCATACCCACACAATTCTCCACAACAACTGATTTTTTTCTGCTACACCCGGCTACGCTGCTTCGCTTCTTCTTCTTCTTGTTTACTACTGGTGGTTGGCTTTGGTCGCAGTACCGCCACCTTCTGCTCTGGAGTGTAAACGCTTCGCCTATGAGAAAAAGGAGCAGCGCATGAACCGATCACAACACACGCGAATCGAACCGAGAACCGAACCGTTCGGACGGTTTTCATAAACCGTTCCATCCCTATACTATTGAGAGCAACGGACGTCGACACAGTGCGCTAGTCGCGTCTGATCTAACAAGCTGAAACAACTCTGTTTACATTCGATAAACATGGTGCAGTGCTAGTTAGAGGGATTCAGAAAGAGGAAAAAAAGCAATGCAACAAAGCACACTGACTACACCCTGGCTTCCTTACATGTTGCTCTCCATTGTTTACTTTCCTGATTTCAGTTGCATAGGGACAGCATCAACACTAAACCAGCGTGATTATGTCACCAGACATACAGCAGTGGGGGTACAGAGGCCACAAAGCTTGATAGTGAGGGGTTAGATCCAGCTTTTTTTTCCCCAGTGGGAAGGGAGCCAAATGCCGATTGGCTGTGTTAGTAAAACGCGTTAACCAGCTACTTTCAGTGCGAAGGTCAGAGGCTTAAGTTAAAAATGGCGGTCCACCACATTAGGACCAGCCCTCATCCCCATAAAGCCTTTACTAAGTCGATGTCATAAACCAGTGTGCGCCCACACACCAGTTCAGGTTCAGTCGGAGGAGCAGGGAGGATACAGGCCAGCAGAGGAGTGGCGGCCGAGTGGTTAGAGCATTGCGCTTGGAATCCGGAGGTTCAGATTTCAAGCCTCACTCCCACAGACTGCCACTCTGGGTCCCTGAGCAAAGACCCTTAACCCAACACTGCTCCCCAAAGGCTTGGGTTAAATACAGAGTTCATTTAATTAGTCTGTACTTGTGACGGTGTAATGACAATAAAAAGCTGGGAAAAAAGGGGGGCAGATGAGACGCCCTCCTGGGGGCTCTATGGTGATGTGCTTCAGGGGGCGGGGCCTTTGAGACTTGTGATGAAGGTAAACGTATAGAATCTGATCCGACCTGTGGTCATGACCCTCTCTCTCTTCTGTTCTGAGGCGGAGGCAGCAAAGGACGGCAAGCAGAGTCCCATGGTCCAGAGGAACAGTTCCTTTGCCACCTCCCACGAGGTTTGGAAGTACATCTGTGAGCTTGGAATCAGCAAGGTGACTCCGCCCCTCCCTCCAATCACACGCATCATCAGGTGACCTTTCTGTAGGCTGACCTGTGTGTTTGGGGAGCAGGTGGACCTTTCCATGGACGACATCGAGACCATCCTGAACACGCTGATCTATGACGGGAAGGTGGAGATGACTGTGATCGCAGCGAAGGAAGGGACGGTGGGCAGCGTGGACGGACAGATGAAGCTCTACCGGGGCGTCAACGCCATCCTGCCCCCCACCGGCCTCGTCAAGACGCCCTGCGGACTCTGCCCGGTAACCACAGCCACCTTAACACACCTTTCGCCCCCTCCTCAGCCCCACCTGATCTCCCACTCTCTCTCTGCAGGTGTTCCACGACTGCCACGAAGGAGGAGAGATCTCCCCGTCGAGCTGCATTTACATCAGCGAGTGGCTGGACTTCTGATGACTGCTGGGGGCGGGGCTTGTGGAGAGAGATGGGTGGGGGGATGGGAGATTCCAGACTTTTGGATCACACCCAGAATGAGCAAGATCTGTGGGTTCTGGGTTCCGCTTAGTGCTGCTGAGGGATCTTCCGGGTTCCTGCGGTGAAACGGAGCAGAGTTTCTGCAGGAACAGCCTGAACGTCAGAGATCAGCTGAGTGTTTCCCTGATGGGCCGTCTGCAGACTGAACAGCAGATCGATGCGCTGCTTCCATCTCAGCTCCCAGTTTTCCATCAGAGCCCGTCCCGGACCTCCATCAGGCTCTAATGGACTGTGTGCTGACGGTCAGCGGGGATCATCTTACACAACATCATGTTTCTGTATCGACCCGACAGGAAGTCACTCATCAAACAGAGCTTCATCACTGAGGGAGAAAAACAAGCAGAAATCTACAGAACATGCTATGAAGGCTTTGGAACCAGACAAACCAGTTAGTACTGGGTGTTCAGACTCCAGTTTCTAGTTCTGTTGGGTCCAAACAAAATTCTCCCAGAGAACAAAACCAGAATTTTAGTTTGTTTGCTTTGAATAAAACTGTAAAAACCTGCAAGTTTTTGGGTCGTGTTCTAACAGCGGCCCAGACTGGTTCTGTTCCGATGACTGAAGTCCATTCAATAAAAATATTTAAACTTTATGAATTCTTCTTATTTCTGTTTGTTTTGAAGATAAACTTGTTACCTCTGCAGCGCCTCCTGCAGGACGGCGACGGGATCTTATTGGTGCAAACCAGATCAGAATCATAACAGGAGAGCCTGACATGAATGGGACATTGTGATGATGAACTTTAAATAAATCCGGAACCAAACCCGGACGGGATGAGGTCGGTTCTGGTTCCGACACTTGAGGCCAATTTATGCTTCTGACGCCTAGCCTCAGCAACCATCAAATCTGTCTCCTCAAATAAATCAGACCTCAAGCGGAAGTGCGCAGACTAAAAGCAGCCATGATTGGTCCTTGGTATGCTTATCCAGCTGTCTGGTCATCCTCGATTCGGTGCCGGGGCGCGCCATTTTTAAAAACCGAGGAACAACTACAATGGAAAACTACGACGAAAGGTTAATCGGTCTTTTTGCAAACTCCATTAACAGAACCTGTTCCTCTTCGATGTCTATTACCTCTAGATCCATCTGCGGGAGACGCACCATTGTTGTTTAGGAAGATAAACACTCCAGCCGGCGCCGCCAAAGTTCTCGTGAGTTCTCCCCCTAACACTTTGGCAGGAGACTGCTGTGCGTCCCAAGAAATTCCAGAAGCATACCAGCAAAACTGGTTCACGACCAGACTCAAGCGACATTTGATGGTTGCTGTCGCAGAAGTATAATCTGCCCTTTAGTTTGTGTATTCAATGACCCCCCGTAAGGAGGAGGGATAACAGCAGGAAAATGCGTCCATCATCTGACACGCTTGTCCCAGTTGGGGTAGCAAGGGGTGCTGGTGCCTATCTCCAGCTGTCTACGGGCGAGAGGCGGGGTACACCCTGGACAGGTCGCCCGTGCATCGCAGAGCAACACAGAGACAAACAACCATTCACACACACACACTCACACCTACGGAGAATCTAGAGAAGCTAACAGTCATGTTTTTTGGACTGTGGGAGGAAGCCAGAGTACCCGGAGAGAACCCACACAGGCTCAGGGAGACAACCATTCACACACACACACACCTACGGAGAATCTAGAAAAGCCAATAAATCTAACAGTCATGTTTTTTGGACTGTGGGAGGAAGCCAGAGTACCCAGAGAGAACCCAAACATGTTCAGGGAGAACATGCAGACTCCATGCAGAGAGACCCACTGAGCAGCCCACCAGCTGGAAAATAAAACATCCAAAACAATAAAACTCAGTCTTATGCCCTGACCCTCCCTCCAGCTGCCCCCCCCCCCTGGTTCCGCCACTGGTTCCAGGATCTAAATCCTAACTGGATCTTGTTTTGAAGTCCTGGTTCTGTTTGGCCATTAAATCACTTCAGAGGAAGCGGTGGTTCTGATTCGGGCTGATGGAGGAGGAGGAGGGTCAGTGCGGATCTTTTCCCGTCATTCCCTGCAGCAGCAGCCCCCCCCTCCCTCCCTGCTCCTCCTCCAGTTTCTCCTCCTGGTTCGCTCCGCTCTGCAGACTCTCCTCCGCAGCCGAAGTTTGGATCCTCGCAGTGGACCTCAGAGCAGGTAAACGCTGCGGTTCGTTTCGGTTCGGTTCTGTTGGGTTTTTGTAGTCGCTGTGATTGGAGCTCCGAGGAATGAAAGAAGGGAGGGCGGGAGGTGAGGGAGGGGGGGCTGGGTTCTGAGGTTCCGCTAACCGGGCTCCATGTCGGGGAGTTCGGCCTCAATCTGAGCTGGTTCGGACCGAAAACACTCCCATTACCGAACCAGGAACCCGAACCCAGCAGCGGTCCGTAACCGGGCCGCGGAGCCTGTGAGCCCGCCTGGCCGCCTCCGGCCCCCCGCCCCTCACCAGCGGAGGATGGAGGATAATAACGGTGCGCCATGAGAGCACAGGCGTGGCCGCGCAGCGGCAGCGGGAGGAGACTCCGAGCGGGACAATAACAACCGCTGCTGCCATGGTCTTTATCCCGCTTCGTTTCAGCGGCTGTCCGGTCAGCCTGTGCCCCGGCCTCCGCCCTCCTCTCCCCGGCTGTCTGCGGCTCCACAGGCCGCTGCGCAGCTTCGCTCTGTCCGCAGAAAATGCTGGAAAACAGCGGCCTGCATCCCCAGGTTCTGATGGAGGAAGGTTCCCCTGAGAGAACAAGCAGAACCAGAACCGACCTGCTGTTTGCAAACTAAAAAAAATACATTTCAGAAACTTGAATCCAACCAACAAGAACCTGACTTTGTTCTGATGGGTTCAGATTATTAATGTGGTTCAGACTACAGCTGCTGTTCTAACCCTTTAGATTAGATCCCCGGATTAAATCTGCCCCAGAACCATGCAGTGGTTCCACTGTGGCTGTTTTGGTTCCTCCTCTTTTCTCCATGATGCAGATCCAACTCTCCTTGAACCAGAGTTTCCATGTTTTGATTGAATGTTCTGCTTAAGACAACAATTTTTTTGGATTTTATTTTCTGGAACAGGTAATTTTCTTCCATTCAGAATCCATCAGAACCCAAACATTAAATCTCTGCTTCAGTTGATGTTCAGAGATGCTGTTCAGTTCTTTTAAAGCTGGTTTTCAGCAAACAGAACCATCTGCAGACAGATGATAAGTACACGGGTTCTTCAATGTATCTTCATAGTTTCTAATAAAGGTTTTGTTAATGTAGCAGAAGGTTCTATTTGGGTTCAGAATAAGAATCTGGTGCAGCTGTTGCTCAGCTGTCTACCAGTCTGTGACCTCTGACCCTGCTGCAGGGTTCTACCCAGAATGTTTTCCCAACATTTGTTTGGGAAAGTTTCCAAACATTAAGAGGGGGAGAACCTGAGAACTGAAGAACCGATCGCAGATCTATGCCTAGAACATCTGGAGGGCTCAGAATGGGTTCTGGTGTTGAAGAACATCCTCCATGGTCAAATTAAAAAAAAAAAAGCAGGGAATTTGGTCTCAGGCTGAAACTTTGAAGTCTTGCTGGAAATGGACCAGAACAGAAAGAAAATGCTGGTTCTCCTGGTTCTGGCCATTTTTTAAACGGAACATCAGAAGCTTTAGCTCTGGGGAACTTCCTGTTGGTGTTTGTGGAACCTGAAGCGACCATATTGGATCAGACTGGGTCTGAATCTGTTGGTTTTTGCTTCCAGTTCTTTTTTAAAAGAACGAGTCTCATTTGATAAAACTATTTTACTCTGTTCCAATTTCTTTTGATTCTGATTCAGTTTGGACAGTTCCTCCTGATCAGCCCAGAAACTCTTACAGACCTGCTGCTACATACCAGAAGAAGAATTCAACTTTATTGTCATTACACTGTCAGAAGTACAAAGCAATCAAATTCACTCTCTGCATTTAACTCTTCCCTTTGGGGAGCAGTGGGCTGCCATTGTGCGGTGCCAGGAGGAGCAGTGTGGGGTTGCTGTCGGTGGGAGTGGGGCTTGAACTCAGAACCTCAGGGATCCGAGCATAATTACTCAACCACTAGGCCACCAGGTCTGGGAATCGAACCCAAAACCTCTCACTGCAAGGCAGCAGGGCTACCCAGTGCTCCACTGAGCAGACCTGAGTGATTCTATATGGCATACTGAACCGAAAAATTACTTTAAATTGTAGCTTAGTTTGATCTAAAAAAACATAGCCCCGCCCACAGACTAATTTAAAGATACCAGCAAAGTATCAAGAGATCCTGAGGGGCGGGGCTTAGTGTAGACATGGATGGTCAGGATGACGGAAAGTTTGAGCTAGTTTAGCTTAGCGTCGTCTAGCCTAACCTGGCTCACACTGGAGTAATTTTATACCTGACTGCGGCGCTGTGATGATGGTAGCCCATACAGGTGATGTAGGCACAGTTGCCCTGGGGAGAAAACAAGTTTTACAGCAAATCCTCAAATTCGATTAGCAATTGCAATACATAAATAAAAGTACATGCAAAGTAAAATGTTCTGCTAGCCTGACGTAGTCCTACTCAATTCTAGTCAGAATATGAGTCTGATACTGCTCCATAGAGCTGTGATTATGGGGCGTGTTTCGAACGAACCAGGAAAAAAAATGCCTCTGCACTCAATTGGATAGACCTACAACCAATAAGAGCAACGGAGTGCGTGACCTATGTTAAGCGACGCATAGTTGTTGTCAACAAAAATCAAAGCGTGCAGTTGCACGCCTAGAATAAGAAGATGAGCCTTGATCGCGTTTCTCTGTTCCTCTTTTAAAATTAATTTGCTGTCGATATCTTCTAGAACAGACCTAATAGCAGAATCTACTCACCTAAACTCTCCGGCGGCAGCCATTGTTGTTGTCGCCCAAGCGCACATTGGTCACGTGGTTAATTACGTTACTGTTGATCATCTGTCCATCATCGTATAAAGACCGCCCTGACAATTTGATTGGATCGCCAGAGAGTGGGCGATCATACTCGCGCTACTATGGAGCAATGCCAGACCGAACTTCCCGACATCAAACCTTGTGGGCGGGACTAAGTTCGGAATGGCACCCAGGCTAATGTTCTGCATCTAGCAAAAACAAGTTCAGAAATGCTATTACTAGCCCCACATCACAGTAATACGGAAGAGGATTAGAGCCACTGAAAAAAAAAAAGTTAACTGATTTTTAAATTTTATTTCAGTTTAACATGGGGGAAAAAAGTCAGAATTCTGACTTTTTTCTCAGAAATCTGACTTTTTTTTCAGAATTCTGACAATAAAAAAAGTTTGGCTTCTAAGAAAAAAGTCAGAATTCTGAGATTAAAGTCAGAATTCTGACTTTTTTCCCATACTATACTGAAATAAAATAAAAAAAATCTGTTAACTTTTTTTTTTTTCCAGTGGTCCTAATCCTCTTCCGTACAATAAGACTCCAATCCACTAGGTGGAGCCAATTATCTCCCTATATGGGAGCATAAAAAAGACATTTCTACAAATCAGTGGCTGTGTCTGAATGTAATCACTATATGGTGTTTATGCCATTTTACATGAGTGTCAGAACATCTAGTGGATGAAAACGTAGTGGACGCTGCTGCTGTAAAGTAGATCTGTAAAGTAGTGACCAT